CCGGAGTTGGGCCGTGAGCCGGTACTTGGAGACCCAAATTTCCACTCACCCTCGCCTTATTTTTTACTCGCAAAATGCGAGCAGGCGAGTGGAAATTTTGAGCCCTGCTGTACACCATATGAAGGTCCATCTCCATTCCCCCCATAGCAGTCATGAATGAGCAGTACAATAGTCTCAAGGGGTTCAGAGGTGTTTTGGGGGTTTTGTCTCCTTTATCTGGTTGGTTTTCATATTTTGGTGTTACAATTGCACCCAATTCCATGCCAGAGCTCTGTGATGACTTCTAGACCAACATACATGACTCTGATTACTGACGTGTGTAATCATTTCTCTCCAGCAGATGGATGTGATGTCAGGAATACCTCGGAGAGACATCTTATATTATCTGCTGGTTGTAAGTCAGAAGATAATGTCATCACACAGGATTCTCCAGGAGTGAATCCACACACACAAAATATACATCACAGACCTCACTGCTCGGAGACATCAATGGATCCCTCTGATCAGGGTGAATCTTCTGATCATTCACATACTATGACTGGAAATATCCATCTAAGATCTCACACTGCAAGAGATCCATCTAATCCCAAGGAATTCTCCTCATCCCATGAAGGAGATCACAGAGGTGAGGATCCATTCTCATGTTCAGTATGTGGGAAATCTTTCACTGGGAAACATATCCTTCTTAGACACCAGAGACTTCACACAGGTGAACGTCCTCATACATGTTCAGAGTGCGGGAAATCATTCACTAAGAAAGGAGTCCTTGTTAATCACCAGAGAATTCACACAGGTGAGCGTCCTCATTCATGTTCAGAGTGCGGGAAATCTTTCACTCATAAAGGATCCCTTGTTATACACCAGAGAATTCACACAGGTGAGCGTCCTTATTCATGTTCAGAGTGCGGGAAATCTTTCATTCATAAAGGAGCCCTTGTTATACACCAGAGGACTCATACAGGGGAACGTCCTTATTCATGTTCAGAGTGCGGGAAATATTACTTTGGGAAACATAAACTTCTCATACACCAGAGAAATCACACAAGTGAACGTCCTTATTTATGTCCAGAGTGCGGGAAATCTTTCACTCATAAAGGAGCCCTTCTTCAGCACCAAAAAATTCACACAGGTGAGCGCCCTTATACGTGTTCAGAGTGCGGGAAATCTTTCACTGAGAAAGGATCCCTTGTTAGGCACCAGAGAAATCACACGTTTGCGCGTCCTTATTCATGTGCAGTGTGCGGGAAATCTTTCACTGAGAACGGAACCCTTGTTAATCACCAGAAAATTCACACGGGTGAGCGGCCTTATTCATGTTCAGAGTGCGGGAAATATTTAATTGATAAACAAAAACTTCTTAGACACCAGAGAAGTCACACGGGTGAGCGCCCTTATTCATGTTCAGAGTGCGGGAAATATTTAATTGATAAACAAAAACTTCTTAGACACCAGAGAAGTCACACGGGTGAGCGCCCTTATTCATGTTCAGAGTGCGGGAAATATTTAATTGATAAACAAAAACTTCTTAGACACCAGAGAAGTCACACGGGTGAGCGCCCTTATTCATGTTCAGAGTGCGGGAAATATTTAATTGATAAACAAAAACTTCTTAGACACCAGAAAAGTCACACTACGCAGCGTCCTCACTGCATTCCGACTCGGGGAAAGTTATCTGTAACACATCAGAGAGGAAGTTCCAGCTGATTCTGATGACAAATGTACGATGGATTTTATCAGGTGGAACTGTTTAGTCCATAGAACAACTGGAGGATATGAAAACACTCGGACTCATCACATGGGTGCAGAGGCCTGTACAGAGAGATGAATGAGTTTATGCACTTGGGTGGCCCCCAGGAGTTTCCAGGTGCTTTCCTTCAGCCGCAGGCAGGTGTTGAAATTGTTAACTGGCTGACAGATGGATGGTGGGGGAGAGCTGTCAGAGAATGTAGTGTGGATGGTGGGGGAGAGCTGTCAGAGAATGTAATGTGGATGGTGGAGGAGAGCTGTCAGAGAATGGAGTGTGGATGGTGGGGGAGAGCTGTCAGAGAATGGAGTGTGGATGGTGGAGGAGAGCTGTCAGAGAATGTAGTGTGGATGGTGGGGGAGAGCTGTCAGAGAATGTAGCGTAGATGGTGGAGGATAGCTGTCAGAGAATGTAGTGTGGATGGTGGGGAGATCTGTCAGAGAATGTATTGTGGATGGTGGAGGAGAGCTGTCAGAGAATGTAGTGTGGATGGTGGAGGAGAGCTGTCAGAGAATGTAGTGTGGATTTCTGGCAGTGTGAGGGAACGTTGCAATCTGTGGTATAAATGAATCTCGTGTATATTGGGAATCATTATTCTATACTGTACATATTTGAACAATTTGTGTACTTTATAAACTTGTACATCTTTTTAAAATTTGTTTGCTTTGTCATAATTATAACCATTAAAACATCAGAGTGATGGGTTTTTTCTTCGTTCACATGTTTTTATCTAAAGGAACTGGCAAAGAAATTACACAGATACTCGAAATACACTTGATAGAACTACGGAGTGAAACAACAAAGAGATCCAATAATGTGATGAAGTGCTACATTCCAAATACACACATTATGAGGGGCCCGTACGTCCCCAAGTATACATGGGGCAATATAAGTGACACGTGAATCATAGCAAACTGCCCACGTCCACTAAGAGGCAGGCCAGGCAAGAAGCACTAAACCAAAACTAAGAAGAGAGAACAGGAAAAATGTATCGGAGAAAAGGAGAATATGGAGAAAAGCGAGAAGAAGGAAACTGAATAGAAGGAAGAGAGATAAAAGGGGAGAGGGAGAGCCGCCTTCCACAGATGAGAGGGAAGAAAGGGGAAAGAAGAAGTCAGGAACACGAAAGGTCCAGAACACATCCAAGGGGGGTAAACCCTCAAATAGGGAGATAGCACGCAGCACCAACCAGCCCAATACAGATCAGGAAACTAGAGAGTTAAAGGAGAACTATGAGGTGACTGATTTTCACTCACCTCATAGTTCTAGCCGACCTGTGGCAATTAAACTGTCACCGGTTGGCTCAGTAGATCGGGAAGTGAGCGAACACACACCGGCGTTCGCTCACTTCTCGATCCGGTCACGGCAGAGAGTGGTGACTGTAACTCACGCCTCCCTGCAGGGATTCCCCCCTCCGATTCTCCAGCGCTGACTGGCGGAACGGGAGGGGGCGGGTACACATGGCTTTGCCTCTAGATAGTCAGAGCCAGCTGTCACTCACGCAGCTGGGCGGATCCAGACATAATTGTTGAACTCCCTCCACAGGAACCAATCACAGGGCGGGATCAGTCACCAGGCAGATTCTGCTCGCCACAGAGATTTACCTCAGATTTCACACCTCGTCCACTGTCATTGGCTGAACTCCCTCCACAGTAACCTATCAGAGTGGGATTAGTCACCGAGCAGATTCTGCTCTCCACATACAGAGATTTACCTCAGACCTGACCACAGACATATAAATGTATAACAATAATAGTGTGTGACTATAATATTCAAACAAATTTTGTATTTTATTTCTTTATTGTCTGGATTTGATGTGAGGTATAATCTGTGTGTAGTCATGGATGTAACGTAATAGAGGAATAGACCACAAGGCAGAGAGCACAAGGATGAAACATAACGGAGGCTGAAGTATTTATATTCAACACAAGGTGGCGATCTCGCGTGGTAGCCACCTGCAGGAAGTGATGTAAGATACAGACAGGAAGTGATACAAGGTACAGAAAGGAAATTATGTAGACGTAGAAACAGGAAGTGATGTCGGTATATATACACAGGAAGTGATGGAGGTGTGAAGCATAAGTTGGAGGTATGGGAAGTATCTCGCGTGTTAGCCACTTACAGGAAGTGATGTAGGAGTGAAACGTGAGTTGGAGGCATGGGTACTGTCCATAATCTCAGAACTGTCCCACAAGATCTGACACTCTGAGCAATTCAGCATTTGTCTACAGAGAGTCTTCTTTAGATCATGTGACTGTTTGATTTCTAAAATACAGATCAGGAGGATTCTGGGAAGTCTTCATTGATAATTGTTACCTTCTCCCTTCAAACAGGATTACAGGATAGTGACCAATATATCTTGTGAGCCATTAACACTCAGCAAGTGTCTTCAGCAGACATCACCCATCACAGAGCCTCCACCTCACCGCCTGACAACAGAGGCAAACCGTGATAAAATATTCTAGAAGTTTCCAGTATTCAGAAGGAAACCGGGATCTCTACAAGGACGTCGTGATGGAGAATGAGCCGCCCCTCACATCACCGGGTAAGAGGAGAGAGCAGTACGGAGGGTCCACCTAGATCCCCCATCATCTGATACACACATAGAAACAATGTATTCAGTCAGGGTGTGTGTTTCCTACAGATGGATCCAGTAAGAGGAACCCACCAGAGAGATGTCCCCGTCCTCTGTATTCCCGGGATTCCACACAGGAAGATCTCACCATCTCACATAAGGTGAAATAGAGAAATAATAGGGGATAGATTTTGACACGTCCCGAATCATTGTTTTATTTCATCTGATCCCATTGTTCTCAATAGTCAGGGTATAAACCAGAGTGAGTGTGATAATGATGTTACAGAAGAGATAAAAGAGGAGGAGAAGATTATGATGGAAACATTCAGTGACACAAACCCACCAGAGAGATGTCCCCGTCCTCTGTATTCCCGGGATTCCACACAGGAAGATCTCACCATCCCCCACCATGATCAGGTAGGTGGGACTCGCTATGTATAAACACAGAACTGATTCTGAACTTTGTAACGCAACATTCTTTTATGTAGTCCATTAGTTTCATGTTTGCTGTACATCTAAAATGCAGCCCCGCCTTCATTTCATCTTCCCCTTGGAGAACCTCCCACTTTTATTGTTTTCTATAAATCAATAAACATACTTTTCTTCCACGGGTCGTGAGCCCAGTCATGTGGCATCATGGATCCTCTTCGTCCTTGTGTCCTCCAAAGGGCACATTCTAAATGACATTGTGCTGTCGTTTGCTTCTGTGAGTCGAGGCCGGTGTGATGAGGGCCTCCAAGGTTAAGGTCCCTGGCCTCCAAGGCTCACAGAAAATGGGTGGAAGACCTGCAATGAAATGACTTTTTTGTGCTGCCGGTCAGTAACACCTGCTGGTTTTGTCCCTTCCCCAGTCTTTGACTGGACAGTAAAATGAGAAGCAGCAGATTGATGAGCTCATCTTTCTGACACTTCGCTCTCTCTTCCAGTCAGCATGACCCTTATTAGCCCTGCAGTACAGCTGACTGGCTCCTCGTGCTGCTTCTCCTTCCCCATATCTGTTATATGTAGACTACAGGAGGCCGATACCAAGTCACATTCAGGTACTTACACTAGAAACACATTTAATGATGTAATAATGAACGAGGAGCTGCATTCTTCTGTGTCTTTTCTATCTCCCCAGAGTTCAGCTTTATGAGATGTTTTCTATTATTTTGGGGTTCAGAGTGAAGAACGGAACAATATAAAAGCTGTGATTAAAGAGGAAGAAGTGGAGACGTATGTGGGGGGTGACCGGCCGTCCACGGAGGAGGTCGGGATGATGATGAAAAGTGATCAGGATGACATTTCTCTACCGAGCAACACAAGTAAGTAACAGACACTATGGAGGGAACAGGTCACAGTTCTATGTCACTTCTGAGTATCTCCATTCCTCATTATAACGTCATGTGCCCAACAAATGAGGAGGAGATACTGTACACCATATGGAAGCTCCATCTCCATTCCCCAATATAACGTCATGTGACCAACAAATGAGGAGGAGATACTGTACACCATATGAAGGTCCATCTCCATTCCTCCATAGCGGTCATTGAACAGTACAATGGTCTCCTGGGGGTCAGAGGTGTTTTGGGGGGTTCTGTCTCCTTTATCTGATTGGTTTTCATTTTTTGGGGTTACAATTGGACCCAATTCCATGCCAGAGCTCTGTGATGACTTCTAGACCAACGTACATGACTCTGATTACTGACGTGTGTAATCATTTCTCTCCAGCAGATGGATGTAATGTCAGGAATACCTCGGAGAGACATCTTGTATTATCTGCTGATTGTAAGTCAGAAGATAATGTCATCACACAGGATTCTCCAGGAGTGAATCCAGATATACAAAATATACATCACAGACTTTCCTGTTTGGAGACATCAATGGATCCCTCTGATCAGGGTGAATCTTCTGATCATTCACGTACTATGACTGGAAATATCCATCTAAGATCTCACACTGCAAGAGATCCATCTAATCCCAAGGAACCTTCCTCACCCCATGAAGGAGATCACAGAGGTGAGGAGCCATTCTCATGTTCAGTATGTGGGAAATCTTTCAATGAAAACAAAACCCTTCTTAGACACCAGAGAATTCATACATGTAAACATCCTTATCCATGTTCAGAGTGCGGGAAATCATTTTTAAAAAAAAGGACACCTTGTTGACCACAAGAGAATTCACACAGGTGAACGTCCTTATTCATGTTCAGAGTGTGATAAATCTTTCACTCAGAAAGGACAGTTTGTTAAACACCAAAAAATTCACACAGGTGAGCGTCCTTATTCATGTTCAGAGTGTAAAAAATGTTTCTCTGAAATAGGAAAACTTCTTTTACACCAGAGAATTCACATGGGTGAGCGTCCTTATTCATGTTCAGAGTGCGGGAAAACTTTCACTCGGAAAGGAGACCTTGTTAAACACCAGAGAATTCACACTGGTGAGTGTCCTTATTCATGTTCTGAGTGCGGGAAAACTTTCACTCATAGTTCAACCCTTAGTAAACATAAGAAAATTCACACGGGTGAGCGTCCTTATTCATGTTCGGAGTGCGGGAAATCCTTCCCTGATAAATATCGGCTTCTTAAACACCAGAAAAGTCACACTACGCAGCGTCCTCACTGCATTCCGACTCGGGGAAATGTCTAATTAGACTTCAGTTATCTGTAACACATCAGAGAGGAAGTTCCTGCTGATTCTGATGACAAATGTACGATGGTTTTTATCAGGTGGAACTGTCCATAGAACAACTGGAGGATATGAAAACACTCGGACTCATCACATGGGTGCAGAGGACTGTACAGAGAGATGAATGAGTTTATGCACTTGGGTGGCCCCCAGGAGTTTCCAGGTGCTTTCCTTCAGCCACAGGCAACAGTTATTAGCAGACTGACAGATGCCACCGCTGTATGTAAATCCAATCCTTTATATCCATACAGGGACAGAGAGCGGCCCCGGATGCTAACAGTCTGTGTCCAGAGATGCTCACCCATCCTTGTGTGGATCTAATCAAATGTATGTGAGCACAGCGGTATGTGAATGGCTTTCTCACATAGGTGGTCAGTGCAGAAGAACTTTCTTAAATTAGTGTTTATCAGGAACAAGAATGTTCCTCACATTGGTGTGCAGTGGGCTTTGAGAGGATCCATCAGGAGAAGCTACTGCAAACCATGAGGGGAGAGCTGTCAGAGAATACAGTGTGGATGGTGGAGGAGAGCTGTCAGAGAATGTAGTGTGGATGGTGGGAGGAGAGCTGTCAGAGAATGTAGTGTGGATGGTGGAGGAGAGCTGTCAGAATGTAGTGTGGATGGCGGAGGAGAGCTGTCAGAAAGAGAATGTAGTGTGGATGGTGGAGGAGAGCTGTCAGAGAATGTAGTGTGGATGGTGGAGGAGAGCTGTCAGAGAATGTAGTGTGGATGGTGGAGGAGAGCTGTCAGAGAATGTAGTGTGGATGGTGGAGGAGAGCTGTCAGGGAATGTAGTGTGGATGATGGAGGAGAGCTGTCAGGGAATGTAGTGTGGATGGTGGAAGAGAGCTGTCAGAGAATGTAGTGTGGATGGTGGAGGAGAGCTGTCAGAGAATGTAGTGTGGATGGTGGGGAGATCTTGAACAGATCATGGTATGGATCGGGAAGGGAGGAGCTGCTGTAGAATATATTGTGTGGATGGTGGGAGCTCCCAGAGAATGTAGTAGAGACATGGGGGGAAATCAGTGACAACACCGGGGTGCAGACAGAAATGATTGATGTTGAACTGCTAAGGGAACAATGTGTGGGGGGAGGGGTGGGGATGTAGAGTCTGATGATAAAAGAACGTCTCTACCAGGGTGTGGGAACTTCTGAGGGAACAATGTGTGTGCCGGTGACTTTATATCGTTGGGAATCATTTTAAAACATTGTCTAAAATGTATATATTTGAACAATTAATTTGTGTACTTTATAAACTTGTGAATCATTTTTTTTATTGTCATAATTATAACCAATAAAACGCTGTCAGTGATGTTTTTTTTTCCGTTCACAAGTTGTTATTTAACCTCTTGCCGCCCGCCCGTAGTAAAAAAACGGACGGATGGCACTGCTGCATCGGCGGGTTGCCGTCGCCAGACGGCATCTTTTTTCTGCTCGCGCGCGCCCCCTAGCGGGCACAGCGGATGTCAACTGGTTAAAGGAACAGGCAAAGAAATTACACAGATACTCGAAATACACTTGAGATAGCTACGGAGTGAGGCAACAAGGAGATCCAATAATGTGATGAAGTGCTACATCCCAAATACACACATTATGAGGGACCCGTACGTCCCCAAGTATCCATGGGGCAATATAAGTGACACTTGAATCATAGCAAACTGCCCACGTCCACTAAGATGCAGGCCAGGCAAGGAGCACTAAACCAAAACTAAGAAGAGAGAATAGGAAAAAAGAAAATGTATCGGAGAAAAGGAGAATATGTAGAAAACCGAGAAGGAAACTGAATAGAAGAGAGATAAAAGGGGAGAGGGAGAGCCGCCTTCCACAGATGAGAGGGAAAAAAGGGGACAGAGGAAGCCAGGAGCACGAAAGGTCCAGAACACATCCAAGGGGGTAAACCCTCAAATAGGGAGATAGCACGCAGCACCAACCAGCCCAAAGAACAGGCATCAGAGTCCACGTTTCACATCTCCTCCTGTCATTTGCTGCATTGCCTACACAGGAACCAATCACAGGGCAAGATCAGAGTCACCGGGCAGATTTTGCTCTCCACAGAGGTTTACCTCAGATTTCACACCTCCTCCACTGTCATTGGCTGCACTCCCTCCATAGTAACCTATCACAGGGCGGGATCAGAGTCACTGGGCCGATTCTGCTCTCCACAAAGATTTACCTCAGACCGGACCACAGACACCCTCATTATTATCCATTTGTATATCACTGACATATACCGCAGTGCTGTACAGAGAACACTGAGCCAGTCACATAGTTTGTTAACGTAGAGAGAAATTAGCGTGTCTGTACAGAGACTGATGTGACTGGCTCCGTGTTCTCTGTACACCACTGTGGTATATGTCAGTGAGATATAAATGTATAATAATAGGGGGGACATTAGAGTGTAAGCTCCTCTGTACAGAGACTGATGTGACTGGCTCTGTGTGTAGTCATGGATGTAACGTAATAGAGGAATAGACCACAAAGCAGCGAGCACAATGATGAAACATAACAGAGACTGTAATATTTATGTTGAACACAAGGTGGCGATCTCACGTGGTAGCCACCTAAAGGAAGTGATGTCAGGTACAGACAGGAAGTGATACAAGGTACAGAAAGGAAATTATGTAGATGCGGAAACAGGAAGAGATGTCGATATATACACAGGAAGTGATGTAGGAGTTAAACGTGAGTTGGAGTTATGGGGACGGCATGACAGTGTCCAAAATCTCCGAACTGTCCCACAAGGTCTGACACTCTGAGCAATTCGGCATTTGCCTACAGAGATTCTTCTTTAGATCATGTGACTATTTTAATGCTAAAAGACAGCTCAGGAGGATTCTGGGAAGTCTGCATTGATCATTGTTACCTTCTCCCTTCAAACAGGATTAAATATTCACCAATATATCTTGTGAGCCATTAACACTCCACAAGTGTCTTCAGCGGACATCACCCATCACAGAGCCTCCACCTCACCGCCTGACAACCGAGGCAAACCGTGCTAAAATATTCTAGAGGTTTCCAGTATCTAGAAGGACACCGGGATCTCTACAAGGACGTCGTGATGGAGAATGTGCCGCCCCTCACATCACCGGGTAAGAGGAGAGAGCAGTACGGAGGGTCCACCTAGATCCCCCATCATCTGATACACACATAGAAACAATGTATTCAGTCAGTGTGTGTGTTTCCTACAGATGGATCCAGTAAGAGGAACCCACCAGAGAGATTTCCCCGTCCTCTGTATTCCCGGGATTCCACACAGAATGATCTCACCATCTCACATAAGGTAAAATAGAGAAATAATAGGGGATATTTTTTGACACGTCCCAAATCGTTGTTTTATTTCATCTGATCTCATTGTTCTCAATATTCAGGGTATGAACCAGAGTGAGTGTGATAATGATGTTACAGAAGAGATAAAAGAGGAGGAGAAGCCTGGTGTGATGGAGGATCTTTTAGAAGGACACAAAGACCCCTTCAAGGACATTATGATGGAACTGTTCAGCGACACAAACCCAGCAGAGAGATGTCCCTGTCCTCTGTATTCCCGGGATTCCACACAGGAAGATCTCACCGTCCCTCACCATGATCAGGTAAGTGGGACTCGGTGTGTAGAAAACAAGTGATTCTGAACTTTGTGACGCAACATTATTTTATGTAGTCCATTGGTTTCATGTTTGCTTTACTCCATTTCATCTTCCCCTTGGAGAACCTCCCACTTTTATTGTTCTCTATAAATCAATAAACATACTTTTTTTCCACGGGTCTTGGGCCCAGTCATGTGACATCATGGATCCTTTTCCTCCTTGTATCCTCCAAAGGGCACATTCTAAATGACATTGTGCAGTTGTTTGCTTCTGTGAGTCTAGGCCGGTGTGATGATGGGCCTCCAAGGTTAAGGTCCCTGGCCCCCCAGGCTCACAGGAAATGGGTAGAAGACCTGCCCTGAAATGACTTTTTTTGTGCTGCAGGTCAGTAACACCTGCTGGTTTTGTCCCTTCCCCAGTCTTTGACTGGACAGATAAATGAGAAGCCGCAGATTGATGAGCTCACCTTTCTGTCACTTCGCTCTCTCTTCCAGTCACCATGACTCTTATTAACCCTGCAGTGCAGCTGACTGGCTCCTTGTGCTGCTTCTCCTTCTCCATGTTTGTTATACGGAGACTGCAGGAGGCCGATACCAAGTCACATTCAGGTACTTACACTAGAAACACATTTAATGTTGTAATAATGAACGAGGAGCTGCATTCTTTTGGGTTTAGAGTGAAGAACGGAACAATATAAAAGCTGAGGTTAAAGAGGAAGAAGTGGAGACGTATGTGGGGGGTGACCGGCCGTCCACGGAGGAGGTCGGGATGATGATGAAAAGTGATCAGGATGACATTTCTCTACCGATCAACACAAGTAAGTAACAGACACTATGGAGGGAACAGGTCACAACTCATTTTTATTTTTGATCTTTCCACATTATTTAATAATTTCTCTCCAGCAGATGGATGTGATGTCAGGAATACCTCGGAGATACATCTTATATTATCTGCTGATTGGCACTCAGAAGATAATGTCATCACACAGGATTCTCCAGGAGTGAATCCAAACACACAAAATATACATCACAGACCTCACTGTTTGGAGACATCAATGGATCCCTCTGATCAGGGTGAATCTTCTCACCATTCACATACTATGACTGGAAATATCCATCTAAGATCTCACACTGCAAGAGATCCATCGAATCCCGAGGAATCCTCCTCCCCCCATGAAGGAGTTCACAGAGGTGAGGATGCATTCTCATGTTCAGTGTGCGGGAAATCTTTCACTGGGAAACATATCCTTCTTAGACACCAGAAAACTCACACAGGTGAACGTCCTTATTCATGTACAGAGTGCGGGAAATCATTCACTCAGAAAGGCGACCTTGTTAAACACCAGATGACTCATACAGGGGAACGTCCTTATTCATGTTTAGAGTGTGGAAAAAATTACTTTGGGAAACATAAACTTCTTATACACCAGAGAAATCACACAGGTGAGCGCCCTTATTTATGTCCAGAGTGCGGAAAATCATTCACTCATAAAGGAGCCCTTCTTCAGCACCAAAAAATTCACACAGGTGAGCGCCCTTATACATGTTCAGAGTGCGGGCAATCTTTCACTGAGAAAGGAACCCTTGTTAGGCACCAGAGGACTCACACATCTGAGCGTCCTTATTCATGTACAGTGTGCGGGAAAACATTCACGCTGAAAGCAACCCTTGTTGAACACCAGAAAATTCACACAGGTGAGCGTCCCTATTCATGTCCAGAGTGCGGGAAATATTTCACTCAGAGAGCAACCCTTGTTAAACACCAGAAAATTCACACGGGTGAACGTCCTCATTCATGTTCAGAGTGCGGGAAATATTTCATTGATAAACATAAACTTCTTATACACCAGAGAAGTCACACAGGTGAGCGCCCTTATTTATGTCCAGAGTGTGGGAAATGTTTCACTCAGAGAGGAGCCCTACTTCAGCACCATAAAATTCACACAGGTGAACGTCATTTCTCATGTTCAGAGTGCGGGAAATCTTTCACTCAGAAAGCAACCCTTAGTAAACATAAGAAAATTCACACGGGTGAGCGTCCTTATTCATGTTCGGAGTGCGGGAAATCCTTCCCTGAGAAATATAAACTTCTTAGACACCAGAAAAGTCACACTACGGATCTTTCTCACTGCATTCCGACTCGGGGAAATATCTAATTAGACTTCATTTATCTGTAAGACATCAGAGAGGAAGTTCCTGCTGATTCTGATGACAAATGTACGATGGTTTTTATCAGGTGGAACTGTTTAGTCCATAGAACAACTGGAGGATATGAAAACACTCGGACTCATCACATGGGTGCAGAGGCCTGTACAGAGAGACGAATGAGTTTGTGCACTTGGGTGGCCCCCAGGAGTCTCCAGGTGCTTTCCTTCAGCCGCAGGCTCAAATTATTAGCAGACTGACAAATGCCACCGCTGTATGTAAATCTAATCCTTTATATCCATACAGGGACAGAGAGCGGCCAGAAAAAATTACTTTGGGAAACATAAACTTCTTATACACCAGAGAAATCACACAGGTGAGCGCCCTTATTTATGTCCAGAGTGCGGAAAATCATTCACTCATAAAGGAGCCCTTCTTCAGCACCAAAAAATTCACACAGGTGAGCGCCCTTATACATGTTCAGAGTGCGGGCAATCTTTCACTGAGAAAGGAACCCTTGTTAGGCACCAGAGGACTCACACATCTGAGCGTCCTTATTCATGTACAGTGTGCGGGAAAACATTCACGCTGAAAGCAACCCTTGTTGAACACCAGAAAATTCACACAGGTGAGCGTCCCTATTCATGTCCAGAGTGCGGGAAATATTTCACTCAGAGAGCAACCCTTGTTAAACACCAGAAAATTCACACGGGTGAACGTCCTCATTCATGTTCAGAGTGCGGGAAATATTTCATTGATAAACATAAACTTCTTATACACCAGAGAAGTCACACAGGTGAGCGCCCTTATTTATGTCCAGAGTGTGGGAAATGTTTCACTCAGAGAGGAGCCCTACTTCAGCACCATAAAATTCACACAGGTGAACGTCATTTCTCATGTTCAGAGTGCGGGAAATCTTTCACTCAGAAAGCAACCCTTAGTAAACATAAGAAAATTCACACGGGTGAGCGTCCTTATTCATGTTCGGAGTGCGGGAAATCCTTCCCTGAGAAATATAAACTTCTTAGACACCAGAAAAGTCACACTACGGATCTTTCTCACTGCATTCCGACTCGGGGAAATATCTAATTAGACTTCATTTATCTGTAAGACATCAGAGAGGAAGTTCCTGCTGATTCTGATGACAAATGTACGATGGATTTTATCAGGTGGAACTGTTTAGTGCATAGAACAACTGGAGGATATGAAAACACTCGGACTCATCACATGGGTGCAGAGGCCTGTACAGAGAGATGAATGAGTTTATGCACTTGGGTGGCCCCCAGGAGTTTCCAGGTGCTTTCCTTCAGCCACAGGCTCAAATTATTAGCAGACTGACAAATGCCACCGCTGTATGTAAATCTAATCCTTTATATCCATACAGGGACAGAGAGCGGCCCCGGATGCAAACAGTCTGTGACCAGAGCTGCTCACCCCTCCCTGTATGGGCTATCAGAGAATGT